TATGAGCGTAGTATATACAATACACACTCATGCTAATTATATAAAAATCTTCTATCTCGTTTTGTCTCGTTCTGTCTCGTTTCGTCTCTTTTCCATTGTTCAAAAATAGAATAATATTTTTAGACGTAATGTAAAATTACTTAAATTGATTAATCAATCAATTAATTGACCTACTAAATATGATTAAGTACGAACTTTAACAAAATAGGAAGATAACTCGTGTAATTTGATACAAAGATTTATACAAGCACGCATTAAAATACAATTGCAGAACGAAGGCAAGCACGACATGAATGTATATGGAATAATGTGCTGTGTAGATCAAACCACAACATGTTTGTATATCAATATATTCATTATTATCCATTACACAAACTAACACAGATACATACATAAATCAAACCACAATCTAATGTACATACACACATACAATATTAACCTTTGATACAAATCTAGATTGTATCGTCAATGAAATATATCTCTCACACACATACACACACACACGCACACACACTAACAAATACACCCACACACACTCATTGTATATTGTATAACCGTCACACTCATAAAAAGCACTTAGTCATACATGCACTTAGATAGTAACATACAAGCCTCTACACATACATGCACAGCACGATATTATACAAACGTATACATAAATACAAATACATATTGTGTACATACAAACATGAATACGCATAATATTCATTAAAAATACAATACAAATACATGTACTGTACATCCAGGCACCACAATAGAAATGGAAAATGACATAGCTACATGGTTTGCATCATCGTCATCGTCGTTGTTTTGGAATGTGCACATGTGAGCAATGAACATATGTATATTATGTATGTATGTGTGTGTATGTGTGTGTGTCAGTGTGTATACTATTCAAGTTTGTTTGTATGACAGCGGTATAATATTGTTCGTCACCCGACATCCACATTTTGTTGTTTTTCCATTCTAAAAATGTTTAACGTTTTATTTTATGCTCTGTACTTTCTAAGTTTTATTTCCTCTTCCTCTTCTTCTTTATTCTTTTCTTTTTAATCTCTCTCTCTCTCTCTCTCTCTCTCTCTCGCTGCTGTTTCTGTTTATCTCTCCCTTTAAATACCATAACGCCATGAGATGGTGCAAGAAATCAATAACGTTGAGTAGGGGAGTCTTTAAATAGAACATTTGCTTGTTCGTTCGTTCGTTTGTCGTTAGTTCGTTTGTTTTTCTACTTTTTATTTGCTTGTTCTGTCGTTTCGTCGTTCGTTCGTTCGTTCATTTGTTTGTTTGTTCGTTCATTCATTCATTTATACAATCATTCATTCATCCATTCGTTGATTCATTCATGCATATTCATCATTCATTCATATGTGTATATTAACCATAATCAAAAGTTGTTTATCCGATACATTTTATCAACCCAAAAAGTCAGAGAAAGAAAAACAAAACATCGATGTATGTATGTATGTATGTGTGTGTGTGTGTGTATGTGTGTGTGTGTGTATCGATATTTGTTTATATGTATGTATGTACGTATGTATGTGTGTATGTATGTATGTATTGAGCTAGAATGTTAAATCTTATCTCGCAATTTTCTCTGTATGATAGCATTAACATCAACTGCCGCGAAACATCAAAAATAAGAATGAAGGCAACAACATTAATTAAAGTAACAATAAGCAGTAGCAAC